CTGCAGCTAAATCAATGCTCCGGGGTCCTGTTGCAGCTTTGGGGAAATCATTAAATGTTACACCAAACTAGTCAAAAAAATAATTACACAGCAAGGCCATATTAAAAAGCACTGAAACCAGCTCTGGAACGAGGCCTCGGTACGTGCATCCATGCCAGCGCCTGCGTGCGTGGGACCGGGAAGCTTGGCTGAGGAGAAATTCCCCATTTCCACCACGCCTGCACAGCCTGGCTGTGTACACCCCTTTGGGGCTTCTCACCCCAAAACCGTGGTTTGCAGGAATCCCAGGAATCCTCCATGCCCATAAGTGGGGAAACTGAGGCACGGAGGCGCGAGGCAGCCAGGGAGCGTGGTGCTGATGCTGCCAGGGTTTGTTCCTCCCACCCAGGTTTTGCTGCCGCTGCAAGGCGTGCCGAAAACTGCAGGAAAGCAGGAGCCACAAAAGCAGGTAATTGGAGAACTCTCCATCATGGATGCTAACGCGCCACGCACCAGAAAGTGTTACGGAAGGGGAAAACTTTTTAATAAAGTCTGCAAGTATATATTCCTCCTTTATCAACCTCAAGATTTATTGACCGGAGAGGCCATATTGACTGAATAAATCTTGATAATGACCCCAGCAGAAGTCAATACCTGCTTATTATCTCCCAAGTTGGGGAATTACATCTTTCTATAATAGGAGCAGGAGGGTACAAAATGTTCTGAGAAACTTCCCGGAGCCTTTCTGGGGAAATGGATGCCCTCGACGTGCCTGTTACCATCCCGGAGGGAGCCTTCCCGGGTGGGTGCCGCACCACTGATTGCTCTGCACCTTGAGGAAAGCCGTGTTTGAACCCTAAATTAATTTATATCGGAGTAAGGCTCGGCCCCAGGGTGCGTCAGGTCCCCATTGTGGATAACGGCCCTGCAGTTTCCCTTTGTCGGGTTGGAGCTGCAATTCCCAGGGCAATTCCCTGAAATTCAGGACCAGGGACTTGGCCCTACAGCAAGGTAACTGCACAATGCCCAAGGGGTATGGGGCTGCCCCCAGGATCCCACAACCGCTGCTTTCCCCCCGAGGTGGCAAAACCAACAGGAGGGGAAAACTGAGGGGCACCGCCAGCCCCAGAGCCACAATCCCACCGCCGAGCCAAGCCAGGACTTGTGCATTCAGAGGTGGCGTTTTCGTTTGCCAAGCGGTAACCTGACGTTCAGCGGAGAAAACAGCAGCTCTGGGACCGGAGCACACAATTATGCCTGCATTTTTATGTGGAGTCTCTGCAGACAGCAAGAAAAATTAACTGGAGGGAGCCGCTACTGTGCCAACATATGGAGGGAGATGAATCGCTAGTTCTCCATGCTCCGCTGAGGTTATCTAGTTAAGCAAGTACCTCCTAAAGGACTCGCAGGCTGGGAGTGTGCTGTTTGCTTAATCTGGTCATAAATAATAATTCGGATCGCCAAACGTTTTAGCATTCAGCTCCACCTGCACGCAACCGCCCTGCTGCGCCGCGCCAGGCTCGGAGAGCCCTGCCACCCCGCGCCGCTCGCCCCAGTCAGTGCCCAGTGCTCCCAGTCCAGCCCCACGGCCCCCAGTCCAGGTGACCAGTAAGGCTGTGACCCTTCTCTGCAATCCCACGGGAACAAATGATATTTTCATCCCTGTTCCCCATCCGCCTCGTGGTCACAATCTCTCTCCCCCCCCCCCCAAGGCCACAGAGACAATCCACTAAACTGGATCAGGAGGCCAGCGCACATATCTCTAATGGGCTGCGGCACGCACACAATTAATTAATGGATTTATTAATTAGGGAAGAAGTCACTCTTCGGGCTGGAATTGGGGTCACCGGTTTCTAAAGCGAGAGCCGCAGAGCTAAAGATAAACTCTCATTTTCTGCAGTTCTCTGCTCGTCTGGCAGCGTCTCAATTATTCAGCCACAAGGTAAAAAAAGAAAAAAAAAAAAAAAACACAACACGTTACACCTCAGGAACTTGAACTTTCTGCCCGTGGAGAGGCCAAGGGCCAGCAGCAGGTGGGAGCAGTGTGAGGCCACCAAGGTTTCAGAGGAACGGGCAGGAGCATCAGCTGCCCAAGGGTGGCTGTGATGTCCCTGCGCGGTGCCACACCATAGGGACAGGCACTGCTGGTTACTGCACACCTTGAGCTACAAGGAAACAGGGCTTCTGGGCGAAGGAAAGAAATGCCCCTGCCAAAAGACAGGCTGTAGGGTGCAGCAGTGACAGCAGCCAGCAGAGAAACCCCATGGGAAAGCACCAGGAAGGCTTCCAGGGGAGCGCACGGCTATCGGGCACCAGGGAACCCAGGCACAAGACGGCCGCCTGCAGAGAACCAGGCTTCGTTATTTCCACTGCTGCTAAATTTGCATTAATTTTCCAAACACCGTCATTCTCCAGCCCACGTCCCACCTGCCTGGTGCACGGGGAGAAGCTGGAGCCACCGGGAAGCCCCAAACATCTCAACCACCCAGCAGCGCCCCGAGCCAGCCCCGCACGGGCACAGGATTTGCTCACCCACCCTGAGATCTCCGCGTGGGAAGGAACACCAAGGCTTATGAGGGGTGGGAAGCATCATCCCCTTTCCCACCGAGGAGCTTCCCATCCCTTGACAACACAGCTGAGCACCCTACAGACCCACCACAACCACAGCGTGGTGGGAAAGAGACACAGCGGGGGCTTCCCCAGCCCCCAGCACCATCCCCGAGCTCCTTTGGGCTCTCCATGCCCTAGCTCCTCCCTTTGCCCTTTGGGCACGGTGACCCCTGGCACCTGCCCACCCTTCAACACCCACTCCTTGCTCTCCTTGCTGCAGAGGACACCTCTGCCAAGTGGGGTGAGCACGGATTTGCCTCCATGCCACAAGGAACTGGTGCCCATTGCTGGGTCAGATCCACCAGCACCCATGTGCCATACCCCAGGTGAATTTTGACTTGGGCCTCCGACGGGCTACGAGCACAAACTGAAACCGTTTCGGCAGCACAGAGAGCCTGGGGCTGCTGGCAGGGCTCTGGAGAGGCTGGAGGAACCCAGGAGATCCCACAGCTCCCTCCTTTATAGCCCCAAAACCACGCAGGACTGGGGGGGGGCGAGGAAGTGAAGCTCCCCTGCTCGGAGCCCAAAGCAGCGCCGCCAAGTTTATCAGTCCAAGCTTCAGGAATTAAGCTTCAGCCAAGAGGACTGATAGCTTATTTACTGCTGTCATCTATATAAAGAAGAATTTTGACACATTGTTAAATGATAGCACATTTAGATAAGTCAAGCTGTCATATCATTTAATGGATGTCTAAACTCCCTCTGTAGCTGATATGTAAAATTTATGCACTTCAGAATATCATAAGGTTATAATATTTTAATCACATCCACATCTTTTTTTTTTTTTTTTTTTTCCCTTTCCTCCCCCTAAACTTGGAGAAGACGCCAGCCACCGCAGCGGGCGCGCGAGGCTGCCGGCGCGCCGCGATCCGGCAGGGGCAGCGCCGAAGTTTCTGCCCAAGTCCCCGCCAAGTCTGCTCCTCCACGCGGGCACGCAGCGAGCGGGTGCATTGCAGGGAATAAAGCGAGCAGCGTTTCCTTTGACGAAGCCAACGCCGGAGCCATGTAGCCAGAGCTAATCTGCATAATGAGATGTGGAGACATTTATAAAAGATGGCTATAATAGGTCTCTCTCCCCTCACTTGCCGTTGTATTTATTATCCCAAATCAGCAGCTCGCAACTCTTCCCTTTTTTTTTTTTTTTGGCCGTTTTAACACGGAGTGGGTTAGATTAGCATCCGGAATGCGGCGTGCGTAATCCGTACGGCGCTAAACCGAACATAATAAAACAAGAGCAAATTAAAGCACGGGGAAAAAAAATCAAGGTATGGAGCCCGTTATGACTATTACACACAAGAAAGCTGTAAAAAAATACTGCATTAGTAATGTACACAATAAAACAATCTCATAACCCAGTGAAATATGTCTGGTATTATCTTTGATAGAATTTTATCTCTTCTCATTTCCGAGACTATTTGCTGTAAAAAGGCTCGATGCCGTTTCGATCAAAGTGCTGCCGAGGAGCACATTATCTACATGTTTTACATATGCCCACCATTCATCAGGGCTGCTCAAACTCTGCCATTCCCAGCAAGCCCTAGGCCAGCAGAGCCGCTTAGACACATGCATTAAAGAGAAAGAAAAAAAGGAGAAAGGAGGAAAAAAAAAAAGAAAAGCTCTCAGAAGAAGAATAAATGGATTGTTTCCCTTCTTTTTCTTTTTTTCTTTTTAAATAGAGGGCATCAGGCCAAGCTGGCACAAGGTCACCTTTCCCACCGGGAGCCCGGGGAGGCGGCAGCACCGCTGCCTGGACACAGGTCCCCCACCAGCACCGCTGCCGTCCCCGCTCAGCGCCCACCTCCCCAGCTCCCCGCCACGCAAAGTTGCCCCTCATCACCTGCCCCGCTCCGCCGACCCCTTGGCAAAGTGCCTGCCAAGATTTGCCTTGAATTCCAGGTTCTGCACCCAAAAACTCAGCGGCGTGATGTACCCAGGGATGCTTTCGCAGCCGGGGCGCTCGCAGCCCTAATCCCTTTCCCACCACAATGCCATAAGCCAGCAGCGGTGGCGAGCCGGCTCTCCGTGCTACCTGCATGACTTTTAGGGTCGGTTATCGCAGACCCTAAAGCCGCTTAAAACCCAAAACGCATTAAAATGCCCAAACTGCCGATACGGCACCGGAGCTTTTACATCGCCTTGAGGTTTGTTTACCCCCCCCCCGCAGTTTTTAAACTCCGGGCCACCCTGTGGGGGCCAAAAACCCCTTTGAACACCCTTGTAAACCTTTGGGGTTGGCTTTCGTCCCCCCTTTTCGGCAGGCACCTCTATTGTGTTAATTACCGGCCTCCCTTAATTGCCGGGCTCCCCAACACCCAGGTACCCATGGCAGGGGGGGGGCCGGTTGGGAGCACCCCCCGCGTCCCCCTCCCCGCTTTCCCTTCCCCTCCCTCCCGTTTAACAAAGGGACTTACCGTCAATTTCCCGGCCCCTCTGGCAGCCTACAGCTGGATAGCAGCAACCGTGACCTGCACGGAACCACAAAGGAGCTCTCCGAGATAACCGGATCCATCCCGGGGCCGCATCACATCGCCCCCCCCCAGCCCCGGACCTCGGAGCCTGGCACCGCTCCCGAGAGAAACCGGGACACGGGGGAGGGGACGGGGATGGGGGGGGGTAAAAAAGCCCCCGGGAGCAGCCCCCGATTCCTCACGCTGCCTCCTCCAGCCCCCAATAACAATAGGAGAGCAGGGGGGGGGCTCCGGCCGGCCCCGGGCACGTCTCCACCTCCTCCCTTCCTCCTCCTCCTCCTCCTCCTCTTTCCCCTGTGCTACGATCGCGAACCGAGCCCCCCCCCAAAAAAAAAAACCCTCCGAGCCCCCCCCCTCGTTCCCTGCTTCGCTTCCACCGGGCACCTGCGGCTCCGAGGTCGTAGGGGGGGGGGGTGAAAACTTGGCAGCGGGGCTGCCTGGAGGGTTTTTTTTTTTTTGGGGGGGGGTGTCCGTCTGTCTGTCCGTCTGTCCCCGAAGTTCAGCCGCCGCCCTCCCAACTTGCCGCCCGCCGGGGCGGGGCACGGAGCCGCCCCCCCCCCCTTTACCCTCCCCATATTTATCTCCATTCCCGACCCGGTGCCGGCTCTGTCACCTTGGGGCGGGGGCCGGGTGGCTCCATGCCCCCCGCTGCTGCTGCTGCTGCTCCTCCGTGCTCCCGGCGGCACCGAAACAAAGAAGCGGAGGAGCCGGCGGAGAAGGAGCCGGAGCCGGTGGAGGAGGAGGAGGAGGAGGCGGCGGCGGCGGGGGATCAATTCCTGATACCTATCGATGGGGAAGGGCGGGCGGAGGGAGGGGACGGCGGAGCAGCGGGGGGAGGGCTGGGGGAGGCCGCCCGCCCCTTCTCCCCGCCGCACGCCGAGGCTGAGGCGCTCGGGGGCCGCCGCCGCCGCCGCCACCAACCTGCAGCCGGCGGACAGCGAAGCGGCCCCGGCACCCGGCTCCCACCTCGGCGGCCATCTTGGGGCACGGAGCCGGGGAGACGCCGAGCCCGGCCCGGCCCCGAGCCCGCCCGCTCGCCGGCATCGCCTCCACACGGCTCCGTTCCTCACAGGGGGGGAGCCGCAGGGCCCCCTGAGGAAAGTTGGGAGGTGGCGGTCCCGAGCTGGCCCCCCGGTGGGGGTGTGTGTGTGTGGGGGGGGGATCTTTACCCCGCCCCTCAAGGGGTCGTGAGGGTTTGGTGCTGGAAACGGGGGGGAATTTGGGTGTAAATCCCGCTGTGGGCACACCGAGCCCACCAGGACAGGAGCTTCATGTGGATCACACCGGGTTTCACGTTTTGTTTTCCTCACACCAAGGGGTGAAATGGGGCTGGGGGGTAATGGGGGTCACGGCGCTGCTGGCTGAGATTTGGGGAGCAGAAGGGATGCTCCGTCCCTGGCCAGGCAATAAATTCCTGCTGAGGAGCTGGCAGCGAGAGCCTGAACACCTACAAGAGCTCAGGAGGTGCTGTAGGGCCAGACCACATCCCACGCTGTGCCCTACAGGCATGGCTCAGGTCCAGTCCCTCTTTTCTCGCTCCTTTTTTACCCCCCTGAGCCAGGAGTGGGGTCCGGGAGGAGAAGAGAGGCACCCAACGTGACCTTGGCACGCCCTGGCCGCCCGCAATCCCACGATCACAAAACGCCCCGGGGCAGAGGAGCGAGTGAGGAGAAAATCAAAGTGCAAAAAATAAAAATAAAAACGATTTGCAGGAGCCGAGACAGTTGGTGTTAAGGAGAGCCTGGCTGCACCGCTGGCCCCTCACCGGGGCTGCCACCAGCCCCCGGTGCTGGGCCACGAGGGCAAACTCCACGCTGAACCCACGACCCCAGTGGCACCAACACCACAACAGAGGCGCCCAGGGCCTCTCACAGATTTTGGTTACCTGCTGTAGGACACCATCAGAGACAGGTGGTGGGCGAGGGGACCCTCCCCTGTGCCCGCAGAGCTGATCCGTGCCCACCGCGCTCCCTCTGAGGGCACGGAGGATCCCGCTCATCCATCAGGAGTAAAAACCAGCGCGGCGTCTTCGGCGAGCAAACTCAATTGTGGGCTTCAAAGGAATGTTTCTGTTCGGCCAAATCATTCATAACTCACTCCTCGAAGAGGAGAGGGGCTGTGCCCCGAGGCCAGCAGCGTGTCCCCAGCCACCTCGGGCACCGCGGGGACAGCGAGGGGACCCGGCCCTGCAGCCCCCCTGCCTCTCCTGGCCCCCCCCCAGCCCGGGCAGCGCCGCGGGGCGCAGGTTAATAAATCAGTTTGTCTCCAGAACGGCTCGCTTTGTGCGCCTGACAATAGCCCGTTGTAAATGGCAGCCCCTCGCCTCCTCTTCTGAAAGGCTTTTAATTAAAATATGGCAGGAGATTTTCTGCGTACTTAAAAATAATAAAATAAAAAATATAAAAAATAAAAATGTTGGGTTTCAGCACGCTCCCATTTCAGGCGTTAATTTATTCTCGCCTTCCTGTCGTTTGTGATCCCCCCGATAAGTCCTTTGTGCAGGCGATCTGGGCCCATCAGGCGACGGGGGCAGCGGGTGCTTCATCCCCAGGGTGGGCAGGGGGACGCGAGGACCTGCACCGAGCCAAACCAGTGCTCCCAGTGCCCCCAGTGCCACGTCAAATGATTTAAACTGTTGCTTGACGGCGTGGCGGCCTGCTGCTGGAGGTGATTCCCCCTGCTTCGTGGCCAGTTGCCCTCTCCCCGCAGCCTGCCCCTCTCCTTCTTACCCCCTTTCTTCCCTACCTCCCCCCTTACTCCCCTCCCTGCCCTTCCCCTTACCCCTCTCCTCCTCATCCTCTCCTTGCCCCTCTCCCTTCCTCCCCTACATCCCGGCCCCTCTCCCTTCCTCCTCACCCTCTCCCTGCCCCTCTCCTCCTCCTTTTCCTGTCCCTCTCCCTTCCTCCCCCCATCTCCATCCCTCTCCCTTCCTCCCCCTCTCCCTACCCCTCTCCTTTCCTCCTCACCCTCTCCCTGCCTCTCTCCTCCTCTCCCTCTCCCCATCCCTCTCCCTTCCTCCCTCCATCCCCATCCCTCTCCCTTCCTCCTCCCCCCTCTCCCTGCCCCTCTCCTCTCCCTCTTCTCGTCCCTCTCCCTCCCTCCCCCGTCCCTGCCCTCTCCCCGTCCCCTCCCCTCCCTCTCCCCGCAGCCCCCTCCCCGCTCCCGTTACACCGGCGACACCTGGCGGCCACCGCGCCCCGCAGCGCGGGCAGGGACCGGGACACGGGGAGGGGGACAAGGGGGGGACACACGGGGGGGGAGGACACACAGGGGACAGCGGGGGGGACACGGCTGCACAGATTGGGGGTGAGGAAGAGACACAGGTAAAGGTTGAGGCTGTGACACCGCTGGGGACACGGGGGGCACGGGGATGGGGACATGGGGGGGACACCAGGGGACACGGTGGGGGCACCGTGTGGCATGCACCGAGCTGTGCCCGGCCTCAGCCCTCGGTGTCACCGAAGCCCCCATGCCCTGACCCCTCCGCCGCAGCGGGGCCGGCCGCCTTTCAGCCAAGTCTCCTTATTTCCAGGCGCGTTCCCGCTACAATTAGCACATGCTCTTTAATTAATTTCCCTCTTTTATTGCTTCGCCCGAAATTATCTCGACCGTGGCGCCGTTCGGCGTGTGCGCGGCGTGTGGTGCTGCTATTTATGGCTTTCCCCTGCCCGTGCCACGGCTCTTGGGGCCGGGGCTGCTGCCTCCTCTTGGGGCCGCATCCTGCTCTCGGAGCGGGGCACGTCCCCAAAGAGGGCCAGCAGCAGCGTCCGCCCTTGGCCCCCTCACCTTTGGCTGCTTGGCCCTGCTCCAAAGGACGCAGGGAGGTGGCCAAGGGCATGGGGACACTTTGGGGCACACCAGCTTGGCTCTGTCACCAGCCAGAACCGGGACACACCGCCCATTCTCCCTGTCCCCTTTGGTGGCCACCACCATGCTGCAGCACTGGGCTGCACAAAACCCCATCTTTCTACCTTTAATAAGCTCTCCGCCTTTAAAAACAATCATTACCAATAAACAAATATGCCGGGCGGTGTATATAAGCATCAAATTAAGTAGCTACAAGCATTCGTTATATTTGATATAGCCTTGTTAACTGGAAAATCCTGGGTTTGGAATATGTATTGATTTCGGCGAGCATATATTATTTTACTGTAAGTACCAACAGCCATTGTAGTTAATATACAACAGTTTAATTTAAAATGCATTAGTTTAATAAAAATGCATAAAATAGAAGAGAATTGCATTAGCTTCAATGAAAAATTCAATTTCATAAATATTATCCAGTGTTAAAATGCATTGATTTCCCAGGAAAACGTATTGGTCAGAGGTAATTTACATTGGTTTGAATGGGAACGTACCGGTGCGTATACATATGTATTAGGTTAGTCAAATCTATCCGATGGCAGGAACAAAACAGCGCTTGGAGCAAAAGATAGCCACAAGGGAAGCGAGATGGCAGGGCATGGGCTGGCTCCGGGGTGCCCTCACCCTTTGGGCACCCCCAAATTGGCTCCCCCGGTGCCGAGGGCTCCCCGTTATCGGCCGCGGGCAGGACTTGGCCGGGGCGCAGGCACCCGTCTGGCTCAGGAGGAGCTCGCACCATGCGAGGAGCGGGGGTTAATCAAATCCTTTTGACTCCATTTTTTATCGAGCTCAAGAGGGGCCGTCCTATTAATTAGCAAGGCTTTTTCATGTAAAACACAGGCTCCTTTGCAGATAAGCAGGGACGATGCTTGATTTTGCCATGGCACAGATAGGTGCATTATTCCCCGACACCCATTCGCGGGCTGCAACCACTTTCCCGTAGCTCTTTTGTTCGCTACACAGCTCCGTATGTATAAATGCATGTACATATATATTTAAAAGACTGATTTTTTTCATGGTAAATCCCCCAATACCCACAGCAGGGGAAGGAACAGAGGTGCCCGGAGCCGGCTCCATCCCCAGGCAGGACCCTGCTCCCTGCTGGAGGCGCAGGATGAGGCCCGTGCAGCGCAGAGGAGGACGCCTGGCAGCGAGAAGTGAGCAGCGGAGCAGATGCACCGTCTTACAAATCACGGCAGAAGCGTGCCCAGCCATCTGCACCCCGTCCCCAGCCAGGGTTTTTGTGCTGTGCTCAGCCCCTGTGCCTGCAGCATCCCTTCAAAGCCACCCTTTGGTACCCCCCCCAGCATGTCCCTTATGTGTCCCGATCGGGTCTGGCCTCTTCCAGGCTGGGCAGACACAAAAGATGCTTCCCCCACACACCCCAAATATATTTTGGGATGTCTCCACAGCTCTGGGGCTGGATGGGGATGCCCCAGCAGGGATGCGGAGCAGGGGACAGGCAGCACCCAAGCGGTGCTGGAGGCTCCGCAGGCGAGTGGTCCCGTTACACCACTGCGCATCACTTCCCTGATGCTTATGGATTTTTCCTTAATGCCACAAATTAAGGTAATTGGGCTCGGCTGGCCGATGGATTCAGCTCAAGTTGGCAGGGGAGGGAGCGCCCGTGCCGGGATTGATCCCGCTCATCCCAGCTGTGCCTGCATGCCCTGGGCTGCTCCTCACCCAGCTCTGCCCCTCTCCGCTCTCTCCTCTGCCTTTTGGTTCAGACAGACCCCAAAAACCCGCCCTGAAATCCATCTCAGCCTCAGCTGAAGCCTCATCCAGCCCAGATGATCGCTGCTGGAGCGGATCGGAGGGGTGAGTGCCAGGGATCAGCGGCGGCACTCACACCCTCTGGGGAACAAGGGCAGCGTCTGGGCACAGCCCGCAGCTCTGGGATCCTCTTTCACAGTCCCTTTTGTTCCCAGCCGTGTCCCAGCCCTCCCACGAGGCTCAGCATGCCTAAAAATACCGAAGGCAAAACATCCCTGCCACCCGGCAAGGCCCCGAGCCACCAGCGGCTGGGACAGGGAAAGTTAATGGGTTTTGGGATCGGCGCTGAGCAAGTGTTTGGCTTCAGCAAGGGACAGGTGCCCTGGGGGGGGGGGACACAGCCAGGAGCCCTGCGCTCCTCCTGCCTGGCTCTGCGGGAGCTCAGCATCCTCCGCCAGCCTCATCCCGACCCTTTTGGGATGGGAGCTGTGTCTCAGCTGGCAGGGTGATAGGGTCACAGGGTGACAGGGTGGCAGGGTGACAAGGTGGCAGGGTGGCAGGGATGGTCCCCTCCAGCTGGAGACATCGGGTGGCCGGGCAGCTGTTCTTGTTGCTTTTGGGCATCACAAATGATCGGGCCCCGTTGTTCCTTCTTTAGCTGCCAAGCAGGGTCGGGTTTTGCCATGCAGATGCATTAACGAGGCACGAAACCTCCAATTCTGGCAGAAATATCCCCATCCCATAAGCATGGGGGGGCTGTAGCCAAGGTGGTCCTTCCAGCAAGGGGACCTCAGCAGCTTTCCACCCCAAAACAAATGTCCCTCGGAGGGAAGACACACCAACAGGGCACGGGAGCACAGCACTGAGCCTCGTTCCCCATGCCAAATCCCCCCAAAGAGCCCAGCAGAGGGGAAAAGCAGAGCCCCTGCCCTCCCCGAGTGAAAAACACAGGTGGGACCGGTCCCCGTGTGAGCTCCAGCGGGTCAGCATCCCAGGGTGGGAGCTGCTGGGGCCTCCCGGCACCCCGCTAACCTTGAGAGCCTCCGTGCCTCGCATGTCACGCCAGGCAGTGACAACAACAAGCTGCTATTCCAGATTAGAGAAGGAGGCAGAGAGAAAAAGTCAGCGACAAGAGGGTTGGGGGCGGCTGGTTTACCTATTACAGCCAAAAGTGGGCAGGGGGTTATTTTTAGCCCGGAGCGAGCCGTATTTATTGTTTCGGCCCTGGGGGGAGAGGAGGGACTGCCTCTGAGGTTCCTCCTGCGGCACCGCCAGCGCCCGAAGTGAAGCCATGGTGAGCTCCGAGCTGCGGCGGGCAGGGGCAAAAACCGCGGTGTTGGCTCAGCACCGGGATGGCCCCAAAGGGCAGGGAGAGGTGGAGGCTGTAGGGATCCGAGGATCCTTTCTGCCCCGTGGAGGGGATGAGCATCGGCAGCATCCTGCGGGGATCAGCGGGGAGAGGAGAGGGATGAGGGGTGCTTCCCACATCAGCTGCAGCCAGCAGAGCTTTCTCACTGGGGCGGGCTCCTTTGGGGTGCAGCCGGCAGCTTTTCTCTTTCCCTTCCTCTAGGCAGCGAGGGAAAGGGCAGCTCTGCTCCCCGAATCCTTCCTGCTCTGTTCCCTCTTGGCAAAATCTCATTTGGGGAGGGGGAAAGCCACAGGGAGGGGATGCTCGGCAGGCCAGCAGGGTCGGGCAGGGAGCGACTCTGTCCTCATCTCCCCAAGGTATTTCTGGTTGTCTCAAACCCCTGCAAAGGAGGAGGTCGATTTTTTAATAAGCAAACGTGTTAATGAGTGCTTTGTTCTTAATGAGAGGCCCAGAGCAGTCAGGAGACACCTAAAAATTACCGCATGCCCCTGACCCCGCACCTGGGCAGATCCCGGCCAGTTCACCCACCGCTGCCTTTCCTGGGAAAGCGATTTCCCAGCTCCTCTTTGCTCTGACCTATTTGGCAAAACTCATCAGGAAAGCAAAGAGGGAGTTGTACTTGGGGCAGGACTCTTACAGCTCTGCAGCATCTCAGGGCTCCCCAGCTCCTGAGCAATGCAGGGGGAAAACCACCGAGCACCCAGGGATTAAAGCCCGGAGCTACCGTGAAGGACTTGTGGCTAAGCACCGGGTAGTTTCAGGCTTTTATTCCACACCATAAAAAGGCAGCGAGTTCCTGAGACGTGCTTGAACCCCGCAGGCACCCAAGAAAGCCAAGAAGAGGATCGAGGGTGCTAATTCCAACGTCTTCTCCATGTTCGAGCAGGCCCAGATCCAGGAATTCAAAGAGGTAGGTGGATTTGGTGGAAGTGACCGAGAGGGTTTTGGTCAAGGTGTAGGGTGTGCGTGGCACCAGGGCTGCTGTGGGGAGCCATCACCCCAGGGGGCAGGGGACAGGGTTGTTCCCTGGCTGGGTGATGACCCCCAGCCCTCCTCCTCTGCTCCCAGGCCTTCACCATCATGGACCAGAACCGGGACGGCTTCATCGACAAGGCGGATCTGAGAGACACGTTTGCTGCGCTCGGTGAGCCCCCTTTAGGAACATCCCCTCCCCAGCAGCTCTGACGGGAGACCTGCGAAGTGAGAAACCAGCCGGGAGCCCCCACTCAGCCCCCATTAACTGCGAGAACCTGGCCCTGGATGATCCCCCACAAATTTTTCCCTTTGTTCCCCACTGCCAAGCAGCACCTGGATGTTGCCAGCCGGCAGCACCCCTGGGTTTTTGGGTGTGAGGGGGATTTGCAGGACCTGTGGGAATCCCAAAGATCACCCGACTCAGGTAAAGGGATGTGGGCTTTCAGTCCCCTTCATTCCCGACAATCAGAGCTGTCTGGGTACAGCTCCCTCTGGCCTGATCATGACACCAGTGACAGGGTCAGCAGGGCCAGGAGGACACATAGCACCGGTGGCTTTGGCCGAAAACATCTGATGAGGACCCAGACTGATCCGTGGGGCAGTGGGGCAGGGGAATGCCCCGCTTTTTCCCCTAGAAAAAGTCTCCCGTGGGTGTCCTTCACCAGCACCGCTCTCCCCTAGGGCGCCTGAATGTGAAAAACGAGGAGATCGACGAGATGATAAAGGAGGCGCCCGGCCCCATCAACTTCACCGTGTTCCTCACCATGTTCGGGGAGAAACTCAAGGGTGAGAGGGTGCCCAGGGAGCCGGGGGCGGGCTCACACTCAAATGACCTGTCCCACCTGGCACTCTCCGTGCCTCAGTTTCCCCATCCATTTACACCAAGAACGCAGCTGTGATGTCCTTGTCCCTACAGAAAGAGGGGACAGGTCCTGCAGCACCAAAGGTGGCACCAACGGCCCCTTCCCGGCTGCAGCCCCTATCATTTACACCAGCTGAGGCATGCAGCCTTCCCCCAGATCTCCTGGAGGCTCTGCGGCCCCAAGGGCCTCCTCCTGGAGCTCTATAAATACACCCAAAAGATTAGATAAGCGCCGGATGCCGGGGCGGAGGCGACGCAGCCTGCTTGGTGGGCACACCGTGACCACGCGTCTGTCTGCTCCTCCCCGTGTCAGGGGATCCTGGCCAACACAAGAGGGCTGGAGGGATTTAGGGGGGCACAGGGATGTCAGCTTTCCAGCAGAGCCCCCCCGGTTCCCAAATCCCACAGCATTTCGCAGGGGAAAGCAGGGATTTGGGAAGCAGGAGGCTCCACTTGGCTGCTTCTTCCAATGGTCACGGCCGTGTCACCCTCAGGTGCCGACCCGGAGGAGACGATCCTGAACGCATTCAAGGTGTTTGATCCGGAGGGCAAAGGGCTGAAATCCGCCTAGTGAGTGCAGGGGTGCTCAGGGGGGGGATGGAGGGCTCACCCCAGAAACCTGCCCGGTGCTCACCTCAACCTCTTGTTTGCAGCATCAAAGAAATGCTGATGACGCAGGGCGAGAGGTTTTCCCAGGAAGAGGTACGTGTCCCTGCCACCCCTCCGCCAGCCCCACACACCAAAAAATCCCTGCCTGTGCCCAGGGGGTTGAATTGAGCTGTTTTGGTGCTGGGTCCTCTTCCCTTTCCCTGCTGGGTCCCACTGCCCAATTCGGGATCTGCTCACACCTCAGTTTCCCGTGTGAGAGGTACACGGCTGAAGGGCAGGGCAGGCAAAGTCAAATTTCCATGAAATCCCATTAAAGCAAGCAATAACGTCCTGCCAGAAGCCACCTCTCACCCCACAGCAGGGCACGAGAGAGCTGGGGCTTCTTTGCCCCTCTCATCCCCTTGGTCAGCACAGCTGTGGGATGGGACCGGTCCTGAAGCCACACCACAGCTTGTGCAAACCACCAGCCCCATCCACAAACCCCTCCCGTGTCACCTCTCCACCCTCTTTTTCTTGGCAGGTTGACCAAATGTTCGCTGCCTTCCCTCCAGACGTCTCTGGCAACCTCGATTACAAAAACCTCGTCCATGTCATTACACACGGGGAGGAGAAGGACTAAGCCATGCTCGTGCCCAGTGCTGGGGTCGGCTCTGTGGGATCACCTCTCTCCATGGTCACACCGGGGGTCCCTTTGCCCCTCTCCCTGGTCCTCTCCATGACGGAGATTTGCTCATCGTGGGGAAAAGAGCGCTGAACAGCACCCACAATAAAGTGCGTTTTGGGGTTTGCCTGGATGTACGGTGTGTCTGTCATTGAATCCAACTCCTGGCTCTACACGGGACCACCCAAAAATCAGCCCATGTGTCTGAGAGCGTTGTCCAAACACTTCTTGAACCTGGGGAGCCTGTCCCAGCACCCGACCACCCTCTTGCTGAAGAACCTTCTCCTAAGATCCACCCTGCCCCTGCCCCTCACAGCTTCACGCCATTCCCTTAGGTCCCATCGCTGGTCACCAGAGATGTCCCTCACCTCCTTCCTAGGAGCCACAGGGTGACCCAGAACCCCCCCATGACCGAACCATTTTGGGTTTTGCAGTGAGGAGAACCAGACCCAGCCTCTGCTCCCCCTCAGCACACGCAGCCCGCCCTGCCCTGATGCTGCCAGAGCTGTGGGCTGCAGGACAGCAGCTGCTCCCACCCCCAGCCGTGGGTGAAACCGTGCTGAAATATCACCCGCAGAGCTTTGGGAGCCCGCGGGAGGCGTTGGGTTCCTTCCAGAGGGGACGGCAGCCATTGCTGGGACAGGACAGACACTGCACAGGCACAGAGTTTGGGGACAAGACTCTTTATTTACTCCAGCACCACCGGGATCTCATGCCTGGAGGTCATTTCTCGCCCTCTTTCCCGTGCTGCTGGCACTGCCCCGCTCCCTCTCGCAGCTCTGGAGAACCAGCTCGCGCAGCCGTGCGTGGTCCAGCGGCGCCTCAACTGCCAGAGAAAATGGCCGCCCTCCTCACGCACCGCCCCTGCGGCGCTTATATACCTGCCGGGGCGGGGCAGGCCGGCCGCGATTGGTCGGGCGGCAGAGGCGCCAGCTGGGATTGGCTGGGCCGCCAGGAGGATGTCACGGATTGGCTGACGGCACGGCCGTAGTCCCTCCTCCCCCGCCCCTCACACTCACAGGCAGTCTGTGGCGTCGGCGGCGCCCTCCATGGTGGGGGGCTGCGGGCAGATGCGGGCTGGGTCCATGCCCTGCAGCAGCTCGGTGCCGCCCAGCAGCGGGTTGGTGAAGGTCTGGGACGTCAGCGAGCCGTCAGCCTCCAGATAGAGCAGGATGGACTCCTTTAGCAGGAGCTCGTTGGTCTTCTTCTCCACAAGAGCTGGGAGGGTGTATAGGGAGATGAAGGAGAGCGCCAAGAAATGGGGTTCCCTCAGGTGGTGTCATCAGATCCCAAGGCTGGATCCCATCCCCAGAGTCAAGACAAGGGCTTGGGGACCCCTGGCTGCCTTTATGCAGCCAGGCTGGCTCCTGAATTGGCAGGGAATTTGACATCCCAAATTCACACTCAGCAGGGGACACGCACACGTGATAGGTCAGGGGGGGAAAAAACAGCTGAAAACTTGAAAAAATTCAAGGAAAAGTGGACATACAAGGCACACACTGCATGGCGGGGCAGCCCCAACCCACCGAAAAACTGCATCAGGTTCAGGTCCGTGATCTGCCCGTTATCGCCGAGCTGCTCCTTGATCTTCGTGTCATCGCAGTCGATTTCTTTGAACAGGACCTCCATGGCAGATTTGAGCTGGCCCAGGACCTTGCTGCTCTCCTTGCATCTCTCTTCGTACTCGTTGGCTTTCTCAGTCGTTTGGCTTAGCTTGTCCTACCAGCAAAGGCTCTGCTAGGTGTCACGAGAGCCCCCTCCTCTCTCCCACCACCCCAGTATGGACACTGGAGACATCCCAGGAGGGGCTGTGGGATGCTCCATCGCTGTAGGGGAAAGGCCCCAGTGAAGGGGATCCCAAGCTCCCTATGCCACAGACGAGTCCCCAGGCTTTGGAAGACCAGGTCTGACAGGAGCCCTTTTCTCCCCATGCCTCTCCAGCCGTTTCCCAGAGCAGCATTGACAGGACCAGTCCCCCTAGGACATGTGCCAGGACAGCCTGCTGTCCTCACAGGGGCAAAACCCAACCGTCCTACCTCCAGCTCCTTCAGGACATGAAGGCTGCTGCTCTCTGCAGTGTCCTGGTCGGTTGTGAAGAGCGTGATTTCGTCCTGTAGAAACACAAGCACACGGAGAGGGTAGGGTTAGTGGCCGACTGCCCAACAGAGGTGCACAACAGGGACTGGAGACCATCCTGTGCCCTGGGAGCAGGGACATCCCACAACAGGCAGAATTTCTTGTTCCAGCCAGCCCTGCACACAGCCGAGGCGGCTCTTGGCTCTCCTGGAGCTCTTTCCTTTTGCAATATTTTTGCTGGGTGCACGGTGGCAGCATTGAGACAATTTTAGCTCCGAGCAGGCAGCTTTCTGCCTGCTGGAGTTGTATTTTTGGCTGCCCTTTGCTTTCTCCTGAGCACACCCGCGTGAGCCAGGCCCTGGTGTGGTGCTGGACAAGTAGAGGATGACAAAACCCACCCCAGCCCCAAGTGTTTTCCAAAGCAGGCATGAAGGGCCTCGGAGCAGGACTGGAACAGACCTGCAGGTCCTTGATCCTCTGCTGCAGCTTCTCCATCTCGTTGTTCAGCTCGGTGGCGTAGCTGAAGTAGGCAAAGTTCTTCCCTTCCTTTTCAGTGAACCCGTTCACCAGCTGGTCGATGTCCCCGTTCTCTGCCAGCTCCAGCAGCCGCTTGTAAGCCACCTCCCGGCTCTCGAAGCTCTCTCCTTGCCTCTTCTTTGCCTTCTGGGCTGCCTTCAAGGCTGAGGAGGAGACAGAGAAGCCGAGCCATGCATGACCCCACCGGCAGGGTTTTGCAAAGGAATGGGGCAAACACAGCACGAACACTCCCTAGGAAGAAAAAAAAAAAGACCTAAAGCTGGGGAAAACAAGACAAACAGTGCTCATATATCACTCTTCATCATTTTTACCTCGTTTGGGGCTGGGAGCATTCCCCAGAGCTTCCCTGCCCTGAGGATGGTGAAGAAGAAGGGGAGATGCCTTTGGGATGCAGTGCTACGAGCTGCTGCAAGCAGCCCCCTTCCACCCTGCAGACCCCTGGTTTGTGGTTTCAGTCACAGGTGGCTTTTCTCCCGTGCTACCTTCTTTCTTTTTGGCCTCTTCCTCCAGTTCAGAGCGATCCGTGAACTTGGCAAGCACGAAGGTCTTCAGCTTGTTCTCCTGGTCGCGGATGCGCTCCCGCTCCTGCATCTCGATGTTGTACTGGACGGTGTCTTTGCTGTGCCTTTCGTTCATGGCTGAAATCCTCGCCAGAGCCTCCACCCTGCACGTGGAGAGCAGCAAGTTACACCGTGAACAGGTGGAAAGCAGCAGGAGTACAAGGATTTGTATTCCTGACCCAATTTATTGCAGCCGGGTCACTCAGACCGCAGCTGATCAACCTCTGGTTCCCAAGCAGCGGCAGTGCCCCCATCCCAAAAAATGCCTGGGGTAGATGGAATAAACGACACCCTGCCAGTAACAATCTCCCTTCACAGAGACCCCTATCCCTTAGACAGCTCCAAATCCTAGAGAAGAGCAGCTGTAACCCATCTCCCTTCCCCCTGACACCAGTCACAGAAATTGCCCTGGCCGCGCACCGCTGCTCGTATGCCTGCGTGGACTGCTCCACGGCGGCGTCCATCCTGTTCTTCTGCTGGTCCAGATGCTTACGGAGCTTGGCGTAGAAGTTGTCCAGGATGGCTTTCTGGATCCGAAGGTTTTCGATCTCTTCTCGGAGCCTGTTATTGACGGTCAGGATGGTGTCAAAACGGACGGTGACCTGGGGAGAGGGAAGAAAAAGGTTTGCGGCTGGCGCAGGGCTGGGTCTGTGCTGAAAGACCTTGACCAGGGCTAGGACAGACAGGGCACAAGAGATCTGAAGCAGGCCCTGCATTGTTCTCCTCCCAGGGATGATCTCAGCAGAGAGCTGGAGCTGGCATTGTCCAAGGCAAAGTGGCTCCGGGCAGCTCGGTTTTATCACTAAACAGGTGCAGACCTTTGAGCTTCTTGGCTGGGAACACGTGCTACATTTGGGTCACCGAGCTTGAAGGAGCCTTTGAGATATTCTGGGATTATTCAGGCCAGGGGAAGGAGCCGAGTCCTTCATACAGTTTGTGTGAACCAAATGCATCTGTACCATTACCCTTCGTCCTGATCAAAAAGCTTTTTGCACGCAGGCCCCAGCACAGCCCCACACGTCGTGTCCAAAGCTTTGCAAAATGTTTGCTTACGTTGTTCAGACGCATCTCCAGGGTCTGAATCTGGTTTTGCAGCCACTTGCTACTGTTTGCTTGCTTCACCTTCGTTGCTATCACGTTTTGCCTCACAATCTTTTTTTGCAGCTCCAGGATCTGCACACACACAGAGAAAATAAATCCATAATCTCCACCCCTGCATTCTGGATTCTTGTCAGGATGCTCAGCCAAAGAAAATACCCTCTGCTGACCTGAGCTACAGCAACCATGTCATTAATGAGCTCACAGCATCTCCAGTCCCAAAGGATGCCACTCTGCACATGCAGAAACACAGACTGTGACGAGGAACCACTTTATTCTCGTGTCACCAAGGAAATGAAGCTGCCTCCAGAGGGAAATTCAGCGGGTGCTGAACAAGGCACAGCAACACCCCTTGCAGGGTGGAAGAGGCAATGAGGAGAGATTTTTGGTAGTGGTTCCCTTGCTGGCCACACAGCGATCTGTGCAGTCCCCCCTGGGAAGGAGCGGAGGAAAATGTTTGCCAGAACTGGAGAGCTGCCAGCGGAAATAAATCCCCACGGCGAACGAAGGAGCTGGAGAACAATGAAGCCGGGGGCAGGTGGGAGAGCTGTGACTCAGCCACGAAATCCTGAAGTCCCGAACTGAAAGCTAACCCCGTTGTGGAAAGCTCTGCAGCATCTCCAGCAGCTCTAAATCTGCTTCCCTGGCTTCTGCCATGGGGAACATCCTCGGGGCAGGGGGCTGCAGCAACCTGTCACTTCTGTAGCACTGCATTTTCCCTTGCCCCCCACCCAGTGTTGACCAAACCAAAGCAGGCTGTGCTTCAGAGAAGCTGTAGGGCTTCCCAGATTTTGCTCAACCAACCCATTTTTTTTTTTGCCTCTTTTTCAGGGTCAGAAGAAGTCAAGGGGAAAGCACAGGG